TATGAACAATACTACATCAAATACAACCAGTTCATATTATACAAAATATCTGCACGTTGGCCTGAGTGTGAAGGTGGCTGTGCTTGGTATTATTCCTGATCTTGATCAGGTTAAAAACATGTTTCTCTTAACACGTTTTTCACTGGTGAGGGGAAACTTTTAAATGTACAAAACTTGTCCTTCTGTGCTGAGGACTCCTGGATTTAAATTTTAAAACAGATTGTTTGTTATGAGTGCATGCAATAGTGGGGGAAGGACATTTCTAGGGCTCTTGGGTATTACTGGCTAGTTGTCTTTTCCTGAAGCACATTAGAGTTTAGTTTCTGGGAACTGGAATAGGGATTTTTGTTGGTTTTGTTGGTTTTTTTAACCAAAACCTTTAGATGGGGTAGCGCTGGGCAGCTTGTGGATTTTAGAGTTGCTTAATTCCTGAGCTCAATTCATTTGACCTGAAAAGGGTTGTGCCGCAGTGACTACTAAAATATTGAAGATAGAAGCAGATATTCAGGACTGAAATACAAACCCTCAGCTGTGGTGGGAAGCAGGGCAGCAGGGTTTCACTCTGGGTTATGCTGGCGTGTTTTCTCTAGTCCCTTGCGTGGCCAGGCTTGCTCAATACCAAACTGTAACGAAATGGAGGAACCCTCAGGAACCTGTAAACTATTCCCACTGCTCTTTGGTAGGTGGTGTTTCTTGTGACTGCAAGTCATGGAAGGATTTGAATGCATATTCTGTAGTGTCACAGAGTTAGCCACCTTTAGAATATGGATATATTTAAATAACATGAGTCATCTGTGATGTACAGGAAGATTTAATGTCCTTTTCTGGCCTTAAACGCTACAGTATAACTATGCAACACCTAAATTACTGGAAATACTCAGTAGTTCTCTGTGCTTTGGTCTTTAGAAACTGAGGTTGGACTGGCTAGTGCAGTGTTTTCAAAGGTTTTCTAATAAAGAATCCTGGGTTCACAGCACAGTCAAAACAGACAATGTTAAGTTTAGCAGATAAACTTGACAAACTTTTTTAGTTTTCCATATTTATTTCCATATTTTATTTATTTATTTCCATATTTGTGGAGAGTATTATGAAAATCATTGTTACTCTTTAAGCAGCACTTTACATAGGTAAATAATTTTATATGCTGAGGGTGGATTACTGCCCAGTTGACTTATTTTCAGCATGACTGTATTTGCTCCCAGCTGGTTCTGTAGCAAGTGCTTGACCTCTAACCACTGCTGTATTGAGATTAAAATGAGCAGACTTCTGCACTGTGTGAAAGCTGCAGGCTGCATGCAACAGCAGAGCCTGCCTTTTGAAAGGTACCTGGCAGGATAAACTGTACCAAACACAGTGCCTCATGCCTGGTTGGCATTTTTCAAATTGAAAAGGTAATAAAAGTATCGTTTAAAGGCAAGTAATCAATATCAGTAACTAAATTGCTAATAATTAAATTTCAGTTTTGTATTTAACTTCTTTTCCTCACATTCATTTAAATTTTATCTACTTTTTTTGTTTGTTTTTTTTTAATTTACTGACTCTGGCTGCTTATTCAATGGTAGTCTTTCATTTCTTTCTAATGCTAAAACAATAATAATTGCTATAATTGTTACCCAGCCTGACTGCTGCAATTGCATTCTTTTGGGCTTCCTTCTCCTGTTTGTCATTCTTCCTCATCATTATTTCCCAGATTATTTTTCTTTCTTACATGGCTTCTGTTTGGGAGTCTTCACAGATCTGTTTTCCACAGAGGAATTAATTTTTTCCTTCATGTTATGGCATAGGTTAATTGCTTTTATATTTGACATTTTGTTCTTTCAAGTTCCTTCAGTTGCTGCAAGTAACTGTTCTTTTTGTGCTTTTCAGTTACACTTTTTCTCTATATTTTTACATTATGCCAAGAATTGCCTCCTAATTAAAAGTATCTCCCAAAGCAAAAGATAATGGGTTTTAATTCAGGAGCTTCAAATCGGGTCTGGTTTATGTTGTTACGTGTCATTCTTGGCCAGATGTTAAGCTGGTAAATCTGTACCTTTAATAAATGGGCCTGAGGTATTATATTCCTTATTTTTAAGATGAGTCCTTTTTTCTAACTTTCTGTTTAGTTGTTGAGTTCTTTGCCCATCTACACAGCCTGGCAAAATCTCAGTCTCTGAAAAAGATAAAAAGGGGTTGTGGAATGAGGAGAAAAATCATTTAGGTGAAGGATAACTCTTTTTTTTTCCTTAAAGATGCAAAAAGCCCCAAAAAACAGCATTAATACTTTGATGCTCATCTGTGACGTTCTGTTTTTGGAGGTATGAAGACAAACTACAGCAAAATCTGCTCAGAATGATGACATCAGTGATGGAAAAAATACTTCCTCATCTTTGACAGACTCTCTTAAAGATTTTTGTTGTTTGTTTGTTTTTAAATCCACGATCATGTTATGGTACTGTCCTGATACTTGTTGCTCTCTTAAAGATTTTTGTTGTTTGTTTTTAAATCCATGATCATGTTATGGTACTGTCCTGATACTTGTTCATAGCAGTTGTGTATGTTTCCTAATAACTTTAAATGTTTGCCTGTGCTATTTTCTTATTTTTACCAATTTTTATTAATTTTACCAATTGTATTATATTCATACTGCTTTTTGAATATCAAAACATTTCTCTCCCTACCTCTGATACACCAAACTTATTTTTTTTTTATAATCTTCACAACTTCAAATGAGTGATTGACAATGCTGTGAACAATCAACTGAGCTCAATGACATCAGGAAACGCCTAGCACAGTATTTTTAAAAGCTTCAAAAAATGAAAAGCATCTTTTTTTTTTGAACTTCTGGCATAAAATGTAAAATATTAGCATTATTGAGCTGCCTGTCTCAAATTGTAATGATCAGAACAATAATGCTGGGGTATGACTTATGCTCGGGTAGATTATCTCCTTAAGATTATTCCGTGTTGCTAAGTAACGTGATTTGGTATTTCATGTGAAAACATATGGTGTATAATGCATAATTGATTTAACATTTGCAAATTTGTTTTGTTTTGTTGTAGTCAATTGAAGAAAATGAAGTTTATCTGCCTAATGATGAGCTCTGGATCTATGAAATTGATAGCGGCTTATGGTAAGTTGCATAATTTAATTAATATAGAAAGTTGATCTTTGCATAGATCTTTGCAGTTAGCTGCAGTAAAAAGACTTCAGTTGCTTGAGTTATTGGTCACGTCCTCTGGAGTTTAAATAGCAGATATTTAATGTAAAGAATGAAGAACTGGCATATGTACTTGCAAATTAACTCTAGGAAGCACATTAATTCCTTAAGTATAATTGGGTTTTTTAAGAGAATGTATTAAATGGTTGCTTTAAGGCTCTGTTGTTAAAACAGGTGCACTGTATTTGGGCGTTTTTTTTGGCTTAGTTCTCCCTACATTATAACTTTTATGTTAAAATAAATATTTAAACACTGGCTATTTGCGTTCTTGATCTATTTACAATTGGGTATTTTTTGTTATTACTTAATTGTGTTCTGAGTGTATTTGCATAAATAACTCATAACTAACCAGACCTTGCACATCCCAAGCAGTTTAATCTTTACATTTTATATTTGTTATGTTTACATATCAGATGTGAGGAGAGAGAACAATGCCTCTTTATAAAGTTTTCCAGTGGTTTCTATTACAATAATTGCGTGTGGTCTGGTCAAAGTAGTATCCATTTGGGTTTATTTGGGTTTATATGTGTTTTCTGCCAGCTGTTTTTCTAGTCCCCCACCTGTTTATGTGTTTCTTGCATACTCATATTCAAAGCAATAATTTGGAGGGAAAAGAGGAGGGGGGCTGGGTCAGGAAGGTGACTTGCAGTACGTATGAAGTTCCACATCTGTGCAGCCAAGTCACTGACTTGGCAAACAGCAGTTTGTGTATGATGAGCTGTGAAGTTCTAGCAAGTCTTTTTTCTTTCTTTTTTGTTTTTAACTTTGTACCCTTGTTGAGACTGTGTTTTTCTGTCTGTTTCTTTTGGTGAAAGGGTTGGTTTCCACCCCTGATGTCCCCGTATCAGTTGTATGGGTACAGCTGTTTCTATGGTCACATGGGAAATTAGATCAGGAAACTGATCTGGGTTAAATATAACTTCTTTTTATTTTTTTCAGGGTTATTTTTAACCTGGATCTGTTCTTGGTCTCGTTCAGTTCACAGCCCAGTTGTACACGTAGAGCTGAGCGCACCGCGTGGCACAGGGACAAGCAGGAGTGAGAGAGCAAGAGCAGAGAAGGGGAAGGTGGGCTGGCCTGTGGCAGTGCTGGTGCCAGAACAAGGGTCTTTGGAAGTGGTGCCCTGAGCAGCTGTAACAGGTGCCCTGTTACACATGCCTCATCCACATCTGGTGATTTAACACATAAAAAGCCTTTCTTCTTAATAGCTGCCTCCAGTTCTTTTAGGCTGGGGGAAGGTCAAGCATCAGAACTCAAAGCTGGAAGGATCCTCTTCTTCTGTGTAGCCACCAGTGATAGAAAATGAAGGCATCTGATCCAGATGTGGATGCCTGGAAGAAGGGGATGAATGGAATTGACTGGGACAACAAGTGTGATGTTAGACCTAGCACAGAGAAGAAAAATGAGGCTTTGAAGGTGGGAGGCCATGACTGAGAAGGGAGACTGGGCTAAGGACCCATTTGGAAGGCACAGAGTGAAGTCAGGTGGAGAGCTGAGAAAAGTGAACGGGCATGGCAAGGGAAGGAAACTTCAGCCAGCAACTGTGGGGTGAAAGCAACTGCGATTATAGAACACAAGTGTGCTGAGTTCCCTTGTGGCTGAGGGAACTGGGGGGGTTGAGCCTGGAGAAAAGGAGGCTGAGGGGAGACCTTCTGGCTCTGTCCAAGTCCCTGAAAGGAGGGTGGAGAGAGGTGGGGGTGGGTCTGTTCAACCAAGGCCCAAGGGACAGGACAAGAGGAAATGGGCTCCAGTTGTGCCCAGGGCAGTTGAGATGGGATGTGAGGAAGAATTTCTTTGCTGCAAGGGTTCTGAGGCATTGGAAGGGGTTGCCCAGGGCAGTGGTGGAGTCCCCATCCCTGGAGGGATTGAAGAGTCGTGTAGACACAGTGCTGAGGGACATGGGTTAGTCATAGGGGACTTGTCAGTGTGAGGTTAATGATTGGACTCGATGATCTTAAAGGGCTTTTCCAATCCAGGCCATTCTGTGAGATGTCAGTGGCAAAGCAGGGACAAATAGAGTTGCCAGCACAGAGAGACTGGGGTTTGGCTGCTACATCCACAGAGACTGAAAGTGTGGCAACAAGGTGGGAATCCTAAACAAGCCATGTGTGCTCTGTGTGTGTGTGTGAGAGAGGGAAATGCAGGTTCCCATCTTCTGTAGAAATTTGAGATCCTCAGGGAGCTATTTTCAACGTGGAGTAATGATTCAAAGCTCAGTCTTGGCTTAATGCTCAGCCTGGTGAGTTCGGCAGAAATTGAGTTTTATCAGATAATTGTGTGAAGCTTGAGCTGGTGTGATGTTAGAATTTGCATCACAGGAAGTTACTGGTTTGTAAGTGAGATTAGCAAGGGAAAGACTAGAAACTGCTGCTGCTGAAGAACAAAGAAGTCATTGCTAAAATTGGCATTGTTGAGGTTTTTTAAGTTGTGCTAAATACGGTGCAAAATACACTTTTGGGAGTGGCATATGGGGTGCCAGAATTAGTGAGTACTTCTGACCTTCATTTCTACTCCTGCCTCAGCTTTTCGTTTTTTAAAATAACATCAAATAAAACAACAGCTAAACCATGTTCTCATTTCAGGAGGTTTTGGAGTTAATAGTTATTTCCAGGTTTTGAATAATTAATGTTTCAGCTCTATTAATGCTCTTTTTCACCTTCAGAAGAATGGAGATGCTCCATAAACACGTGCACTCGAAATACACCACAAGAGCCTGACTTCATGTATCAGCTGTAGCTTCAAGTGCTAGTTACGGCCAAAACATTGCAACTGTGTTTTTAGTTTTAAGTATAAAAATGATTAATACATCTGGTTTGGGTTGGTTAATTTTAGCAGGTTTGAAAGCAGCATTACAGACTTAATGTGTGTGCTAAATTGCAGGACGATGCACCTGATGGAAGGAGAGTTGCCTACCTCCATGTCAGGAAGCTGTGGGGCAAGCATTAATGGGAAGCTGTACATTTTTGGTGGATTTGATGATAAAGGATACAGTAATCGGGTATTGTATTCTTTTCTTTCCTAACATATTGTTTTTTGAATGAATAATAATGCTGACATGAATAATAATGTTTTGTCTGATGTACTTTGCATTTGAGTTCAGGAGAAATTTAAGGGAAAGCTTTATTTTTCTAGGAAAAGTATACTTTTAAACTGACAGAAAACTTCAGGTTTTGTTCTAACATTCAACTCTTTTTTATTATTATTTGTTTTATTTTTTTGTTCTAACATTCAACTCTTTTTTTAATTATTTTTTTCATTTCTCACTGAATCATAGGTTCAGAATGAGACCCTTTGTGTGAAACTTTCTGTATTTACTTCTGAAAACTGCCTGTGCTTTCCCAATTTCCCCCACCCCCCTTTTTTTTAAAAAAAAAATCTGGTGGCAGCCACAATTGCAACTGATCTCTGAATATCACTTTTATTTTTGGTCTTTGATAGTGATTACCTTTCTTATATAACCAGGTAATAATTAAAGTTAAAATACAGCTACCAGGTTTTTTTGTAGCTGAAACTGGAGTAGGAAAATAGAGGAAATGAGCTGTTTTTTATCATTTAGTGTGAATGAAGCCAGAATTCAGTCCTGAGTGGAAAATAACTGCACTGGAGCCTGCACTCGGATGTCTGTTCACAACCCCTGCTGATTTTTGTGCAGTTCCTTAGTGATGTTGGGCAGAACTACTGAAAATTCTGCCAGCAGAGTTGAGCTGGGAGCTGTTTGACTCACACAAGTTTTTCAGTTGGCTCTGGAAGGAGCAAGATATTTCAGATCTGGTCTGGCTGAGTGAAGGGAAGGAAACTCAGTGCTCATTCTCATGCTTTAACTGTGTTCTTGTGGCCTGTTGGACTATTCCTATACGTTGCTACATATTGTAAACATCACACTCACTTCCTTAGGGGTTTTCTTGTTTTTTTTCCAAAGGAAGTAGCATATTCTGGGGGAGGTGGGTTGTTCTTTTTGGTGGTGATTTGTGCTGGATTCTTCCAACATCGTTTATACTGAAAATATTGTAATTTTTTTCTTTTAAGCTGTATTATGTTAATTTGCGAACAAAAAATGGAACCTATAGGTGGAAAAAAATTACAAATTTTAAAGGTCAACCTCCTACACCACGTGACAAGCTTTCCTGCTGGGTGTATATGGACAGGTAACACATTAAGAATATTTAATATGTGTTAATTGCAGAGAGGAAGTACTAGAAAGTGAAGAGACACAGGTTTGGGATTCATGAAACTCTTTAATTCTTAGCTTGACTTGCTGTGGGATTTTGTGTAACTCTCCTAACAACTTTCTACCAGAGTTTTCTCACGTGTGAGCTGAATTAAGGGTAAGTATAAACCCATTTTAGGAGGGGGTTGGGAAATGTAGTGAAAGTTTCTGGAATGCTTTGAGACTTTAGATTGTGCATCTGTTACTTATGGTTTTAATTTTAACACCTTTTAAAAATCAGGATAAAAATGACGTTGGTTTTATTTGTTGCATTATGTAAGCATTCAATTATTACCTGCAATAAAATATATTTAGTGTGTTTTCAAGGATTTCAGTAGCATACAAATACTGACAGTTACAAAGACATTTCAGTGAGTATGAGAACCAAGTCAGCCTGGTTATTTGTGTCCTAAAAGCTGCTGAGTATATTTAGAAAAAATACTTGGCTAAAAATAAATATTGTACTTATTTATATAAGTAAATTATATAATTTATAAAATAAATTATATATATTAAATGTAATAAATATTTATTATATTCAGATTTTGTGTTTTATTATGGAAAGTTTCCCAGTATTGTGGCATATCTGGTCACAGATGTCAGTGATTTGTTGTAAAAGTTACTGTAAACAAGTAAGAATGTGATATCCAGTGCAGACTATAAGGTGTGAATGATTTATCTGTTTCTGGACTCCACATCTAGAGAGGTTTTGTGTAAATATATAATGCCTCTCAGTACTATATTTTGGTTTTGTAATTCTGATTCTAATTGTAATTCATATGTGTCATATGAAATGACAATATAAGTTCTCTTTAGCTATCAACAAGATTATTCAAAACTAAATTTATCTGTTTAGGGTATCATGTAATCCACATACTGAGAGAATTACCTGTTTTAGGAGGCAGAGTGTAACCTTGTCATTGAACAGAAGTATTTGGGGACGAGCTATGCACCTTTTCAGAAGAGTATTTGCAGATCAGGATGTTGTGGTGTGTTGCACAATGCTTTCAGTAACTCTGTTTCCCTAGGAATGTCAATCTGGAATGACCTTCACCATCCCATCATTTCCTAAATTGCCTTCTCCCAAGATCACTAACAACTATACCAAATATCCTCAAATGTTGAAGTTAAACAAAACTTTAGGAACCATTACTTATGGATGGCCATTTCATGGGTGGAATATTAGGCTGGGAGGTGTGTAACGATACTTGCAATGCAATATATTCAGTAGTGATTAGTTGAAAGAATCTCTTTATGAGCTAGAGAAAGATTTTTGTGGGTCACAGGCAGCCTGTGGGCTGAACCTTGGGAACATTTGTTGTGAAAAGACGTAGACAGAAATACAGCAGGAGCACAGGAATTTCAACAGAAGAGGGTAGCAGTTCTAGCAGGAGCATTTCACTGCCTTGTGTGTTATGTGTTATTTTGAGACTCGTGTCTGAAAATGTGACTGTGATCAATGAGCTTGTGGATGGAGGAACAGAGAGTAGGGATTCTGAGGTATCTTCAATCTCCTTCCTTGCTTGTGGTGTGGATTTCTGTCAGGCTGGTTGAGGAGCTTAACTATTACCTTCATCTCAGTAAGGTTTGCTGTGTAATTAGGTGCAATATGAAATATTTTAAGTTGTTTATATTATTCATAGTACAGTAGGTAAACCAAAACTTGAGATTAATAATTACAGCTTATTCACTCAAATGTTATTTACAAAACAGCTAACTGAACTATATTTTGTTGTTGTTCTTTTAGGTTAATATACTTCGGTGGCTATGGCTGTCGGAAGCATAATGAGCTGAGTGATTGTTTTGATGTCCACGATGCATTTTGGGTAAGAGATTCGTCACAATTCAGAATGATTTGTCCTTTCTGATTGCCAAAACATCATCTTTTATTCTATACTCTGTAAATATGAAAATCTATCTGATTTTTCTTTTAATTTGTAGCAGCAGCAGCAGAAATGCAAATTAGAATCTTCTACTTAAGATTGGAAATTTCAGATATTGCATGTTGGGAGCAGTGGGTGTTCAGCATATTCCAAGTACCCAGTGCTGGGCTTTGAGTGCAGTGAAACCAAATGCTGTCAGAGCAGGAACAAAGGCAGCATTTTAAATCTGAAGACATATTTTAAATATGAAACTGCCAGAAAATTTTAGAGTTTATTTCCTTGAAATAACAATAGGGAATTTGTAGCTTCACAAGCCTAAGCTGGCAAGTACTTTCAGTTAATTTCTGTAATTTGTTAACCAGAGTAAATGTCATTATTTTAAGATGCCTGGATTAGCTGGTTTCCTATAATGATTTTGTACAGTTAATAGAAAGGAGGAGACTGATTTGAGTATTTAGTGACAGGAATTAATAAGAAACAGATAGATATTCAAGGCAGTAGAGATCCTTACATCAAATGTTAAATATTGACTTACAGAAATGTATTACTTTGTACAATCTATTTCTTTCTCAGCATGTTACACTAAAAATTAGAAGGTAGAATTTGTCTATTGCAGTGACTCATGTTGGAGCCCAAAGCCCATTTTTGAAAGTGTCATCAGCCCTAACGTTCCTGAATGCTGTTGACCTTCAACTAGACCTGAGCTGCTGCATCATTACTAAAAATATTAATATGTTAATATTTTTAACATATTAATAAAAATATGTTTCTTTTAATAAAATTCTATATTTTAGTTTATTTTCATTTTTGATAGATCACTTCTGGCTTTCTATCTGTTAATAAGCACAAAGATTTTAAAATAAAATATACTTATTTTAATTTTTTTTAACTTCTTTTTTAGGAAGGACAGATATTCTGGGGATGGCATAATGATGTTCATGTTTTTGACACAACCACACAAACTTGGTCTCAACCAGCAATTAGAGTGAGTGTTTTTCAGTCTTGTCTTCTGACACAATTGTGATCTTACTGCATTTTGAATAGTTATTGTGTTCTAGAAATTGATGTTGGGACGAGTAATTTAAATATGCTTAGTATTGCTCAGGCTTATAACATTAAATAGGAGGACACTCAGTGCCTCTGAAATGTGGAAAATTTGGAACTGATAGGAATTTTTTTCCCCACAGGATGTTACTAGACTGGTGGTTTTGCTATTTCTGATGCAAAAAATATCACAAGCTTCAGAGAGGTGTTGGAAATGTGGATACAGTATTCTGTATCTAGGGCATAGCCTTGAGATAAAGCTTTGTATTAAAGCTTTAACACAACTATTGGGATATAAAATTACTGTCAGCACTCCATTACTGGAAAGACAAGACACTGGAATACTCCAGAAAACCATTTAGTGTAGGAATAGCAGAGTGGGGCTGAGGAACGAGGTGTGGAAGTGTTTCAGTGGCTCCTCACAAAGCAATCCTGGGTCCTGCAGAAAGGGATTGTGGCAGTGATACCAACCTTGGGTGACCTTGTAGGCCCTGCCAAGGGCTTTGGATCTGGAGAAGTTTCATGGCTGGAGCACAACCATTAACCCCAGCCAGCTCTGTATTCATCATCTGCCACACCTGGCAAAGACCTTCTGGAATGAAGCAAAGCTCTTTGGGTGGTAGAAACACAGGGATGGTTTTTATGGTGCCAAACTGAAGTTAACAAACCCCCTTTGTCTGAACTGTTTCGATAGGAAGCCATTTGGGTGACTGTATCTGTGTATAATTTATAATAACTTATAGATTACCTATCACAGATAACTGAGGGTTGACCACATGAAAGATGAAGGTCTGCCAGGAGATTTCTTCTTTTCCCCTGCCTCCCCCTTGTCACAAAGCTGATAGGTCAGTGGGAAGGACGGTGTATATTGATGCAGCCCCGTATCCTGGGCTGCACCCAGAGCAGCGTGGGCAGCAGGTCGAGGGAGGTGATTCTCCCCCTCTACTCCGCTCTTGTAAGGCCCCACCTGGAATACTGCGTCCAGTTCTGGAGCCCCCAACACAAGAGAGACCTGGAGCAGCTGGAACAAGTCCAGAGGAGGCCACCAGGATGATGCGAGGGCTGGAGCAGCTCTGCTGTGAGGACAGGCTGAGAGAGTTGGGGCTGTTCAGCCTGGAGAAGAGAAGGCTCCGGGGAGATCTTATAGCGGCCTCCCAGGACCTGAAGGGGCTCCAGGAAGGGTGGGGAAGGACTTTTCATAAGGGCAATTAATGACAAAACAAGGGGAAAGGGGTTTAAACTGAAAGAGGGGAGGTTTAGATTAGATATTAGGAAGAAGTTCTTCACTGTGAGGGTGGTCAGACACTGGAACAGGTTGCCCAAGGAAGTTGTGGCTGCTCCTCCTTGGAAGTGTTGAAGGCCAGGTTGGATGAGGCTTTGAGCAACCTGGTCTAGTGGAAGGTGTCCCTGCTGCTGGCAGGGGGGTTGGAACTGGATGAGCTTTAAGGTCCCTTCCAACCCAAACCATTCTATGGTTCTATATTGGGCTGAAAGAACAATAATGGTCTGGAAATCTAGACTTCTTGGTTCACCATTCAGCTTTCACAGACTTAAAGAAGGGAAGGGGAGAGACAGTAAACTTGCTGTATTGCTCATTTAGGCCATTTAGGCCAGTTGTATTGCTCATTTAGTTGTTCTTTGTGAGGTAAAGATAAATGTTTAGTATGGGAGGGTTACACACTCGTTATTTTGAGCACAGTGTGTATGGAGTTGCTGAATTCCCTTCAGGAGTTAATGTCAAAAAATCTTTTGAACAATTATCTCCCAGTCATGCTGTATTTTTAGAATAAACAGATCAGATATTCTTTGGCAAATATGTTATTTTAATAGTCTTCCAAAGGAGCAAGTTTACTCACTTTCCCAGTGAAATAGTAATACACACATTTCTATTTATTGATATTAATATGATAGTGTACTATAAAGGTTCATAAAATCCTGGTGATTTTACATAATAACTCAGTAGAAGTACTGTATTGCAATGACTGTCTGACACTATTTTATAGTCTCTATAGAATGTTCTCAAATTCCTATGAAACTAAATGGAAAAAATGAAATTACCATTGCAAAGTAAAAGCCAATTTTGCTGTCTTTATTTCTGATTTACATAGGGAAGACTTTTTGACAAGTGGCTATTGGATATAACATCAAATGTTAAGATCTGATTTCCAGAGATTTTAGTACCAGTTCCTGATGTTTTGTACTTTGGAAAGATAAAGCTGCACAGGGGATATCAGCAATATCTGATGTGTCATTGTAATTTTATGCTTGGAAATTAAAGATAAATTAATTGAATTTCACTTAAGTAAAGCATTGATAAATCAGACCAAGAGGGAATATATTAAATATTAGCTACTGAGGGAACTCACTTAAAAACTGTCCTTGGCAAGTGTGTCTGTCTTTTAATGTCTGTGGAGTCTTGGACATGACTACAAATTATTTCCTTTCAAAGTTGCAGTTCTGTCAGCATTCTGATGCATCTTGGCCTCACTTTTGCAGTCTCTGTGATCTTGACTTGCCACTATCCTTGGCTTGGCTGATGATGTTCTGAAGGTTCTTCTTTTGGTTCTTCTAGGGTGGAGATCCACCTCAGCCTCGAGCAGCTCATACGTGTGCTGTGCTGGGAAATAAAGGTTACATCTTTGGAGGACGAGTGCTGGTTAGTGTTTAATTAAAACATTTTATTGGCAGTAATATTATTTTCTTTGCAGTTACTTTTTTATAGAAAATTATTTTATAGTAGAAAAAAACAAAAATCCCAACTGTCTTTGGCCTAACCTGTATCTTAGGGGGATTGAATCCAGGATGCTGCTTTTTATCCCCCTCTACATTACAAGAAGAGCCTGTCGTTCTGTTTGTAGTGTTAATGATGAAGCATACATTGTCCCAAAAAGGGAAAACATGCAGAAAGGGAAATGCAGATGTTTCTAAATCAACAAAAATGGTTGATGTGTGCGTTAGCCTCTGTAGGAGATGGTTTTTGAGTGGAACAAAGGCAAGCCTGCTGATAGACCAGGTTTAAATAAATGATGAGATGCTAGCATTCTGTGCTTGCTACAGCTCAGCAGATTTATACACCAAACCTGCTGGCTTTTTTCTTTTTCCCTCCATTTCACTTAGTGAAATGCTAGCAAGTAGTAAATATAACTGAGTTTTAGCTTGTGCTTCCTCTCCCCTGCTAAAGAAAGAGGAAATGTGTAAGAGCAGTCAGTTACTCGCATACACACCTCTCATACCCTGGTGTTTACCTTCTGGGAAAGTGAAGTTCAGAATAGCTGTGGGGATTAAGGAATTTTTAGATTTACAATTGCAACACGTGGTTCTGAAAGGTAGGAAATAACAGATTGCAGTTTTATAATTTAAACTTTTGTCAGTTTTTTGACTGAAATACAGATGTCTGAAAGAGCAGCACGTGATTCTAATGTCTGGATACAAAGCTACCGGTCTCTGTACGCTCAGGCTGGTACAGGATGCTGCAGGATGTTATCTGCTAGCACAGGCCACTGCAGGCACAGGCCATTCCAGTCCAGTTAAGCCTCTTCTTTGCTCTCTGAATGTCAATTTTGCAGTCTCAGTCTTTGCCTTTAGTGTGCTCTGTGCCCTTGATAACAGAATACGTGCAGCATACCGTAGAGATTGCTGTTAACAGCTTTATTCTGTGCATCCAATATAAGCTCTTTCCTGCAAGAGTAAGGCTTATATTTGCTTTCCTGATAGTTGATCCAAGACTGTACTATTTAATACACTGTGGGAGGATCTTAAATCTGTTGTCCCTTAGGTAATAGTCAAAGGCAGCGTTAAGAGCTGTCTGTACAGGATGCATATTTAAAGCAAGGCTAGATTCTTGCTAATCTTAACTCTTTGTAGCTCTTAACTTAAAAAAAAAAAGTCATAGGCATCATCCCCCTGCTTATCTGTACTCAACAAACCTGAAACCACCACTGGTAGGCAAGGAAATACTAAAACCTGTCAGCAACACACTTAATTTTTATAGTACTAGTCAGAGATTTTCTCTTCAGTTCTCTGCTGAAGCATTAATGTAAGAATTTACACCTGAGGCAGCAGTCCATTAAAGGAAACAGATTCCTGTGTTACATCTAGAAATAAGGATGGTAGTAGGTAGTCTTAACTAATGCAGGCTCCCCTATGGTTTGTACATTGTGAGGATAGTTTCTTTATGGGCTGGAAGGTGTACCACCTCTTTTTGTAACTTTTTAAACTGCAAAAGCATAGGGAAAATAATAGAAGCATAGGGAAGACTTTTTATAAGGGCAGTTAATGACAGAACAAGGGGAAATGGGTTTAAACTGAAAGAGGGGAGGTTTAGATTAGATATTAGGAAGAAATTCTTTACTGTGAGGGTGGTGAGACAGTGTCCCAGGTTGGCCAGAGAAGCTGTGGCTGCTCCTCCCTGGAAGTGTTGAAGGCCAGGTTGGATGAGGCTTTGAGCAACCTGGTCTAGTGGAAGGTGTCCCTGCTGCTGGCAGGGGGGTTGGAACTGGATGAGCTTTAAGGTCCTTCCAACCCAAACCATTCTATGATTCTATGATATTTTTCAAGGACTCTGTATAAGCTGGAGTTTATCAGGAATGTGAGAAACAGTTTCTACAAGGCAAGTAAAAAAACCTCCTAATTTAAGTTACTGTGTACTCTTCCATAGTTTTTTTTTTTTAAGTTTTTAGCTCCTTTTACCTACAGCTAATTTAGAGCCTTTAATCATATTTAGCTAGAAGATGAGACTCGATGCTTTCTGTCTCTGCTACTGTGAAAAGTAACAGTGAAGAAGCTTTTGAAAGCCCTCAGTGCTGTGTTTCTATAGTTTTGTTAGATGAAAGAGAAGGAATTAACTGTTGGTTGGAAATGCCCTATAAGGAACACATGCCAACTTCATCTTGGAAAGCTGCCATAACCTAAACCCTGTATTCTCACAAGTACTTGCAAATAAAACAGTGGAAAATTGCACTTTGTTCCCTATCCCCTGTTTTTCATGCTGTAGAAGCTGTACTCTGACACAGTGTTCTTCTCAGGGAAAGTCTACAGTTCTGTTACAAAATGGCTTACTCCTGCTTGCTCAGACAGAAACCAGACCTACAGACCAAGGCAGGTTCAGAATGGCCACAGAATGTCCAGCCAGTTTTTCAGTTTGCATCTCCTCCCACAGCTGCAGGAAAAGTTTTTAACCAAGTAACTTTTCAGAGCAATCAGAAAGGAAAGTAACCACAATGAATCCTGTTTATTCTTGCCAATCTGCATTGTGTGACCTTTCATGATCTCTGGAATTGTTGCTAAAGCCCCACCTCTGACTGAGATCAGAGAACTGCACACAGTAGCTTCCAGAGCTGTAAGTTTGGACAAACTTAATTTGCAAATTAAAATATAAAGGGATATTAGAAGAGATATTGAAAAAGTATCTAGTCTTACTTGAATCTTGTGTGTCAGGGTAAGCCATGCCAGGCTAAGTGAGCCCTGTGCCTCTGCTATGGACTTGCTCTTTGGTGTCTGCTGTATAAATGAACTCTTGCTAACCACAGCTGAACTGAATCCTGCTCCTCATTTAGCAACCCTGCAGACATGAGAGGGAAAGAAACCTAGATGTGTAAAAGTAAATGTGCAGCTCGAGACCTTCTGAACCCTTCCTCAACCTTCAGAGCCTTGCTCCCTCTGGCTTTTTGTTAGCAAGGGCTGTCTCTGTGTGCTGCAGAGCTCTTCACACCAGAAACAGAACAGCACTGAGTTTTGTGTCCAGGCTAGTTAGGGTTGCTGCACTGTGCCTGTTGCTTTGTAACTCAAGCTAGGATTCTCATGCAGCCTCTGCAAGTGAAATTATTGATAAACTGGAGCTCACCTGTCATTCCTCCACTGTGCTGTTGCACCATTAGATGTGCCCTAAGAGGACATGCCCTCTTTAACTCTGACTATTTGACTACAGGATTCAGAAGTACAAGAAGGCTCTGATCTGAAGAGGTTTTTCTCTTCCTTGGGTAGCATCAGCTTTCTTAATAACCATTTGCAAAATTTCAGGGAAACCGCTTGGGAACAATGTCAGAGAAGAGTGAAATTTTGGAAAGCTATATTTAATTTTGTAGGAGAGCAGCAAGTGTAATTTTCACCTTAGTGATTATTATTGATTGACTTTCTATCCTAGAAATAAATGGAAGGAAACTTAGAAAGGTTAGGGAACATTCAGTGGGGCTTGAGGAATTAATGTAAATCATGAAACAGAAAGGAAAGCTAAAGACATCAAAAAAACACGACATTTCCTGACAACAGGAGTAACTCTTCCCCAAAGGATGAAGTCTTGCTTTTCTCCATAAATTAAGGAGCAAATACGGGGTTGCTCTGCGCCTCCTTCTCCTTCTAGTTCACCATAATACAAATCTTCCCAGGGAAAAGGCTCTACAAGGAACCAGAAAGGGCCAGGAAGTGTCATGAGGCTTCTCCTATTCATCTTTCTGGGAGGAAAGGGCACCTTTTTCCAAACTTGGAGCTAGAACTGGTAAAAGAAGATGATGATGATGATGATGATCAAAATCAATTGTACCAGGAATCATTTGAAAACAGGCTCAGAAGTATTATGTGGACTCTGTTCCTGCAGGTAAGCCCCTGAAAACAAAAAAAACAAAACAGAAATGGGAGAAAGTGGGAAGAAAAGGAGAGTTAGTCCAGGAGCTGATGCAAGTCTCATGTTTGATTTAAGTGGAAAGTTTTCATGTAAAGAATGATGAAGTAATGAAACAGTCTTTCCAGCAACTCCTCACACATCTGATGCCTTAATGTATGCATGTTTATATTTTCTGTTACCCTTTCTGTCAGTGAAGATCAGAAGATAAATTGAACTGCAGTCCTTCTCTTAACCAAGATTTGAGCTGTAAGAGCTGTCTGATGGTAAATCTCAGAATGGAGAGCTGCACAGAGCTGACTGTAACAGCAGCCAGCTGTAAATATGTCACCCTTAATGCCTTTCATCATGCTAGAAAGCTAATCCTGAGACAAAGCAGATCCTGCTTAATGTTTACTGGGCTGCAAAGAAATGAACATGCCAGAGATAAGTAGGATGTCTAAGGAGTCCTTGTAGCTCAAAGGGAAATGCAAACCCTCTTATGAGGCTTGATGCTTTTAAGCCAATTAAGAATCATTTTAGGATTATCAGCTAAGTGATTAAATATAGTAGGCAGCATTTAGAAATACAGGAGAAACTGCAAGAGAAGTTTGCATATGTCAAGTGATGATTCTGTAACCTGTGTGCTTTAGTTTCCCAAAACAAGGGTCGGGTCACGAGGCATTTTCGTTTGTTAAAGCTGTGTTAAAGGACTGAACCTTAGGCGTACGTGTCCAACTGATGCTGTGTTTTGAATTCAAAATGAGGTTGATGTAATTAATGCATCTGTCAATCTGTTGAATCATGAGAATTTAAAGATTATAATACATTGATTTCCCAGGGACCAAGAAACAGAAAACTGCTCCATCTTCTGCCTAATGCCTAGGAAAGGAAAGTCAGCGAGGAGGTCTTGAACGGGATCTTCTTGAAACCTTATTTTCCAACAAAACAGCAACTTTCTTTCTTCCCTTTCTTTAAGAGATGTCCTCTGTACCAAACTGTTATTCCAAGATGTTTAAATATTTTTAGTTCTAGAGGGCAGGATGTTGCTTTTTCCCCACCCAAATGTCTAGCTGTGTTACAGGTACAGCAGAAGATACTCAGTAAATTGCATTTTGCTTTCTGCTTGTATAATTTGTTCCTCATCCCCTTTCAAAGCCACCTGAAGGAGCAGGAAACTGAATAGACTTGTCATGCCAGACAGATCTGTTCCACTAGCTGTCAGTTGGACCACACTGTATTGTCACAGTCACCCTCTTGCGGGGATGAAGTTTCTCAGGCAGTGCACAAAAGCCCTCTCATACTGCTTTTCTTTAACCTGTTGGCCTCTCTAAAGGCATTTCCAAAATGCTAGTTAACATTCTCTTCCCTGAGACAGAAAAGGGCTAGCATGTACTTGATCAGAGGCCACAGCTATCCTGAAAAACCTTGCTGATTCCTGAAATACTCTGAGAGACTTTCAGTAGCTCTGATGGACAGGTTTGGAAGTCTCAGACTCACTAGCTGGCTGAGTTCTCAGGGGTAAAACTACTCCTGTTCTGACTTAAAGGACAAGTCTAGTTTCTGCCTCAAAGGATCTGCAAGCTGGAGAAAGGCTTATTCTAATAGATCTATGGACTACCCTAGGAGAAAAGAAATTGTAAGGTAAGGCAAGATATATTTCCCTATTTCTCAGATATTGTTTTGTAGTACCTAGCAGAATCACAGATATCACTCAGGCGTCCTGCAAGCTGTTGAAAATATTGCTACAATCTAAAGCAAATAAATTCTGTCTTATATCCTCCACCACCCCCTTTATGTTCCTAAGGCAATTACTTCGTCTCAAAACACAGGTAGATATGCAAGTGTATTGATTTCCCATTGTTCTCATTGATACATCTTATTATTTTGATGGCAAATGCTAAGGGGTCATAAAACCTTGTTGTTGCTAGTAATAACTTTGTGAAAGGGTTTGCCTTCTTGAAAAGAGAAAAAAACACAGATGTGAGGAACTTTTTATGGGATGTCAAGTACTGAGTACAGTACCTACTTGATTATTTCAAGGAATAAGTGACCAGGCAGGAGGGTGCATAGTTCTGATCAGAACACAAAGGAAAATCATGAGAGGAAATGACAATGTATTTTGTCTTCTGCAGTTACCTACTGTGAATGCGATGGATGAAAATTGAATACATTGGCAGGATCTGAATATCACAGAGTTCTTCACTATTAAACTGTTATTAAAAGCTAAAATTGGCCCCATACTGTTGTTGCATTACTGTAAATACTCCAAACAGGTAGTTTTCTGAGAGTTGCATGAGTTTATTGAGAAGAAATGCTTTTCATCTGCCACATAACACACACTTGTTTTAAGGCATCTGGGTACAGTTTTCTTCAAAATATTGTTACTTGGAATATTCTGTCCTGGGAAGGCCTTGCTGAAATATTTTGCTTATTGTTTGCTTAATAGAACTCAACTGGGATTTTATTTATTTGTTTTAGCAAACTAGAATGAATGATTTGCACTGCCTGAATTTAGACACTTGGACTTGGTCTGGAAGGTAGGTTTCTCTCTCTAACACTTTGAAGTTGAACGTATCAGATTGAAACATACTGTTAAAATAGTTCTAGTGCTAATTTTTTAGCTTTTCCAAGAGGAGAATGGGAGTTTGGGGACTATTTTAACAGCTGTTAGATTGTGATTTCAATTTAATTTAATTTGATAGTGGTTACTAAGCTTTTTCTGTTCCGCACCAAAGCGTTGATGATGCTATTTTAAGCACAGCATGTAGTGATTTAATATCCTCATTTTCAAGATGGGTACATTTATCCATATGGAATTTTAGTTTTGATATCTTCTTGAATACTGTTTTTACTGTCTATATTTGGCTCATTATGGTACAGATTGAGGAAAGATCTTCCCCCCCACCCCAAGATAAGCATCTTAACCATTTTTTAAAAAATCAAGTAAAAGCATGACCTAAATATTTCAATTTTAAGCTAAATCAGGTATTGGCATACTTCCTAAGATTGTTTCTTTACATACAGCATTTATGATAGTGCCTACTACATGTGTAGAATCAGTGGATATATTAGATAGACAAACCAGGAGATAAACAGTAACTGATGGGTGATAACCACTGTTCTGTTCCTATTCACCAGGTAACCTAATAGTCATTTCATAAAAGACCATGAAACACACCTTTCCTGAGTATGTGTCAGTACTGATCCTGCTCCAGGGCTTCATGTGCTTCATGCACCTGTGATTGGCACCTTTAATCACCTGTGAGCGCCGATCTGATCCTGCACCAAGTGTGTTCTTCTGCCCTCTGAGCCGAGAGCGAAGCAAGGGGTAGAAACAATCCTCCATCCATTCCTTCTTCCTGCT